CAAAAAAGAAAAGATAAAAGTACGTGCGCTGTGGGCCTCCATATTTTCTTTTTTCCTGCAAAGGGGGAAGCAAGAAAATCGGAATAAATTTGGCCAGAAATCTGGAAGATTCGTTACAGAAGGACAAGGTAGTTTATATTAAAATGAATGTGAAGGGAGTTTGATTTGAACTTTCAAATAGCGTGTACGGGCTCAAAATGGCTTCGGCGAAGGGTTTTAGGTTCAACGTTGCTGAATGTTCGCTAATTGTAGGTAACAATTACAAAATTGCGGAGAGTGTGTTGGAAGAAAAAAAATGTTCTTCCTCCATGTTAGTACAAATCTTTGAATCCTGAAGACAGAGGAACAGCAGCAAGAAAGAACAGTAGGAAAGTCATGGGGGGTGGGGGGGGGTTACAAGTTTCCCAGGCTTCGCCCGTTCATCATTGTGACAAGAGCAGAGTGGAAGTGAAGACGTCAGGACGGTCAGACGGTTAGCAGCGGTGGCCTGACGCACTGGCCGCTGAATTTCGATTTCCCGGAATTAATGCCGAATTAAACAATTTATGAAGATAATATTTTTAGCGTTTACAGAAAAAAAAGCCTTTAATTCTGATGAAGTTAAATCAGGAAGACTGTATGAGAATTTAGTTTCTACATAAAGTTGTTCCTGTGCTCAACTAATGAAGCACTACACCACGAAGGCGTATATGGGATTGGATGTATAGATCCATATTTTCTTCACCTCGTTACTAGTTGGAGCTGAGTGGTCAGCTTCACGCCCCGGCCTATTTACCCCACGAAGAAAAACTCCCGGTATTTATTGTATAGGAGGCTGGGTGGGCCCCAGAGCCGGTCTCGACGACGTGGAGAATAGAACATTCTTGACCCTACTAGGGCTCGAACTCTTGACACCTCGGTCGTCCAGCCCGTAGCCAGTTGCTATACCGACTGCGCTATCCCGGTTCCTAAATTTAGTTCATACTTTACAGAAAACAAACTGCCTCTCTAATGGAAGATCAACCGGTAAATACTATTTAAGAAACTTTCCACCGTTCATTCTGAGAATTATATGAAATGTTAAAGAAAGTTGTACATATAATTACCACTGCGTCTTATTAACGAGGACCCGAACATAAACACTAGTGATTATAGCAAAAGCAGTGTTGCAGTTTGATCATGAAGCAAGCAAGTATTTACAGTCCCTGAGCCTTTCCTTCTGCCGCCCACAGAATTTCGCCTCCGCAAAATATAAACTCGTACTAGCCTGCACCGTGGGCGGAACAGCATTGTAACATAGCCGGTTCAGAATTCAGGTTTAGGCGGGTTCATGCACATGCTGGTAACAATGCATGGTCTGTTGCTATGCGCGCCTCCTATGATTCATTGTTCACCCAGGATCATTGTTCAGCTGTAAAATTTCCCAGCAATATCGACAGTTTACTATGACATTTGAATGTCACTGAAGGCGGACTGTGTTTGTTTACGAGTAAAATGGGAGAATTTCAAATATTTCACAGTCGTCCTATACATGTGTTTTACTGATATTAATTTCATTTTTAAATAAATGGAAATATTTTCCAAAAGCCTTCACCACTTTTATTCCGTCAATTATCTGCTTACCAAACTGACTAAACAGATTACAAACTAATCATATGGAGCATGCCGCGCCATAGCTCAAGCTGTTAGTCGCTGTCTTCCCATCGCGGCGGCCCGGGTTCGATCCCGGGTCTGGTCAAGTGGGATTTGTGGTGGACAAAGTGGCGCCGGGACAGGTTTTCTCAGAGTATTTCGGTTTCCCCTGCCAATCTTCATTCCATCAAATGCTCCACAATCACCCTCACCTATCATCTGGGGTTGGTACAATAGGCCAGAAGTGGCCGCAGTACAAGGGACTTAGTCCCACCCCACTAGCAATAAAAAAATACCATATGGAGCACAATCTTTATTGGCAAGCTAACAATCATTTAGTTATGTAAGAGCTGAGGTTTCCACGGCGGTCACTACGAAGAATGCCATATTCTGGGATGTGGCGCCGTGTAGATATTGTGTTAACCGACGTTTCGGACGAACTTATCGCCTCCATCTTCACGGTATAAGAAATCCGCGAGAGATGAACCAGCTTGAGCTGGTGGCTGCAACGTCGTCGCTAATTTTGTCTATTCTGTGTTGCCGGCCGCACTAACATAACTCCCTTTTCCGTGCATGTTCCTGTCCTCGTTGAGAGTGGGTATTGGAACCGATACCCAAGAATTCTTTGCTTGCCTCCTTATAGTGCCGAGGTTAAGAATGTATACAGCTATAACTGGTCTCCCATACGTCCTCAGAGCACGTTGCCTGTACTGGTGCCTTCTCACGTCCATGCAGAAGAAACAACGCGTTATCATCAGAAACTCCCATATCTTATTTGTTCTGCTCGCCCGTTTTGATGTGCAGTTTTATATACAAATTTTTATAATAGAAGCTGCACCAGCCCTACTTTAAATAAAATATACCATCTTTTTCTCACAAAACTTTCAGGACATATATTGAATGAGGCCGAAAATTTTTGTGCGCATTCGATATCCTGTGGGGCTTGAGAGCCACTGGACGGACTCACACGAACTCTGATGCTGGAGAATGCTAGGAAATAAGTCTTCCTTTGGATTCACAATTTCGACGACTATTTTGCATGAAGACCGACACGCGTTCGTGTGTTTCGCAAGTATAACTCATAAAATATTTATGAGAGAAAAATAATTTCGAACGAAAATTGTTGTAAAATATGAAACACACGTTATGTGTCTAATGCTTGTTTCTCGAAAATCTTACGAATTGCGAGATAATTAAATTGAGGAATTTTACTGGGACATTTTGAACTTGACTGGTGCAATCGCAGTCTCAATTATTCAGTTTACTCTTATCTAAAACAAGGCACATGAGTAATGAAAGAAAATTTCTTCGCCTCGTTTCCTATATTTCCTTTTCTCAGAACTAATTTGAATAACAAGATATTGACATACCACCGAACAAGCAGCCTCAAACTCCAGAGTTTCAGACTAGTATCCGGGAGGTGTCTCTAATTAGCCCGGGATACACACTAACTTGATTGACGCTTTTCGTGGTCTTTCTCGGTGCTCGGTAACGCTGGGATATTACTTTAAATGAGCCCACGGCTAGCTCCTTCCATATCCATTCCAATCTATTATAATAGATTGGAATGGATATGTAAATATTTATTCACTATCATCCATTCATTAGACTAAGTAGCGCTATAATCTGAGTGAATAAGAGAGTCATTAAATAAGCAACAAATAAATAACTTGTAACATTCCATTTAGAACTCCTACCGAAAGCACCTGCATGCTGTTACACTCTTGTTTAACCAAGTAGGGCATAGTCTAGTCATGTATTTCTTAACTTGCAACATTTGTGAAATTTAATCCTTTGAAACTAGAAATTCGTTGAGGAAATATTTAAGTTATCATTTTTTACATCATAGCAAATATTACGCAGATGGACAGGTTAATGCTTTTTTGGGAAATAATATGTCTTTATTGTGATAATCGTACGAATCCCATAAACTATCTACGGAGAAGGAATGAAGCTGGCTGTGAGACATGCTCCTAATTTTACGTAGAATTTCGTATTTCATACCAGGAAATAAAGAAAGCCTTTGCCACAAAATTGAGTAGGGTTGTTCTGTAGTAATGTCAGGTACAAAATATTATACCGCATGAATTTTTGAGACATTTAAGAAAATAAATATTGCTAGAAACTAAGCCTAGATTCCACTGTGAATTCACTCATGTTGAGAATCAGGGAACTCTTTAAGTGGTCTTTTGATTGGAAATCATTCACGCACTAAGCTTCCGCCTATCTCAGTTTCACGGTGGGCATAATTTGTTTTGAAGACCGAGTGGAGGCTTGTGACCAGCTGTCAAGCCGTGAGAACAAACCGATAAAGCTGACTACAACGCTAATGGTTGCTCTTCGTCGAACACAGGTTGTAAGTGATTTTGTTTCAGTGGCTCCTCGTTAGCGGCTAGAAGGAGGACGTTGTCTAATTTGTTCATATACTTGCATTTTCTATTATTGACATTATTTACTACATGACAGCGGAAACCACGAGATCAGCATTGCTAATGCAAGCGTCCTGTGATGGTGCAGTAGAATATAGTATATCAGCGTGACATGCTTAGACAAATCTATTTTAATATATTCTCCTATTTTCATCTTGATTTTCCAAGACCTTTCTTTCTTTTTATATGTCCAACCTATTGCAACATTCTACATTTGATTCCTATAACAATATCTGGATGTCAGAATAAACCATTATGTTCCCTCTTATGTAGCATTCCCACGTTTACACATGTTACGTCGCTATCAATTTGAAACACTTTCCTGAGTACTCCATTTTGTTCTAAACTACACTCCAACCTCAGAAGATCAGGTTATGGGTATAAAATATACGCAAAGTATGACATTTCTGACTCTTTCTCCCGCATTTATTTAATTATCTCGAACACCTAAGAGTTGCGGAAGAAGTTTACTGGGTATAAAATATGTGATTTTTATTCTCTTTAACTTTTTAAATATTTCTCATATCCATGATCCTATAAATATTTAGCGAGTTACATTCAACTTGCGCACAGAAATACATGCATGTCTCCGTGGAAAATGTTTGATATTATTGTCTACTTTTAAATAAAATTGAAAAGTGTTGGCAAATTTTAGTAAAACTCCCCAGAATCAGATTTTTGAAAATCCGTTCCAATATTTCAGAGTTATGTGTGGATAGACAGAAAGAAAGAGAGAGAGATGTCGTGAAACTAATGGGCGCATTTTACAATTTTTCGTTTTTAGTTACGTTGAAGAAGTCACAATTTTCATTTCTGTTTGCCACAGAATTAAAAACAAATAAGATGTTATTCTCTCTTTCATATTAAAGCACACATATCTAAGCGACGCACCCATCGCAGCTTGCAAAGCAGTCTGCGTCAAATCTCCGTGCCAGCAGCACTTCACTACTGACGGTCGAATGAGGCAGTCATTCCAGTCGTGCGACCGTGTTCAGTGTTTGCTCGGCTACAAACCAGGATTTAATTTCGTGCTAAAATCATAGTAGCATTGCCCGATATGATGCTTGTTTCGGTCCGTAGGCTGTATGTGCGATTCTGTTTTTGTGTACACTGCAGCGGAAATAAGATATTCAGTTGTGGGACAGTTGCTGGACAGTCTAAACCCTTCAGAGTCCCGTCAGCGATTATGGCGCTGCAAATCGTATCGGTGTTCGTTGTGTTTCGGTGCCTGTGCTGATTGTGTTACGTGCAATTTCATTTCATCTGTGACATCAAAACATCCGAGGACCAGTTTCAGTTCAGTGATTCATAAAAAGCGGTGTGTTGTTTATGCTCAGAAGGACATAGGACGAAACAACAAAATTATTTGTTGTTCTGTTTTGGTTCTGTTGCAATACAGACACGTAACGTAGTGTCTACAGATGTGATCTGTTTGTCGTGGATTAAGATATTGCTTTCAAGCACTTGTTTACCAACGAAAAAACGAAGAACATTTAACTGCATAATTTGATTTGAAGCAATGACAATAGAAACATAGGCCTGTTTGTGAAAAAGCAATGTTTCGTGTGCCATTTTGTACCTCTTCAGCAAGTACAATGCCATGTCAACGAGTTTTCGCGATATTGGTGTGCGTAATAGCATTAGCACGTGGCGATGACGTCACTGCAGCCTGTGGGTATCAGGAAGACGCCGTTACTATAGCAACGCATCATGCTACAGCAATTTTCACAGGGAAGGTAGATTCGCTTTCGTATTCTGATAACGGTGATGTCACAGCAGTTATAATAGTGAAAAGGGTTTTGAAGAAAACTTATGATGGTGGCGTGTTTGAATATTTAAATGGAGGTGGAAAAGTGAGAGTAAGAATTGTGAAAGATAAAGCGTCAACGTTGAAAGTTAAACAGTTTCGTACAGGTGAGTTCACAGAAGCTACAATTGATTTAGAACCTCTGACTAAGAACTTGAATTGTTCAGTCAGTGTTCTGGATGGTTATTCCATCGCTCCTCGAATTAATTTTGTGAAGAAGTTACGTGTGAAAGATACTAAAATATTTTTGGTGCGGAAATTAGAGTCTCGAAGTAAAAGGCTGTTGACATCAGAGAAACAGGATGCTGCAATGGAACTAGACTCGCCTCCGCTGGTCCTGAAACTGGACATGCTGGACAGAGTGTCTGCTGCAGTTAAAGGTAAGATCACTTTAAGAAACTGTTCACAACAGACTGGTACCACCTGATTATACATTAAGAGGTCAATATTTTAATCGCAGAAGCAATTTTATATATTTCTTATGATCATGAGAATAAACAGCTCTTATTCATTTAAAATATAACTTATATTCTCTCCAGAAGAAGCATTTTGGATAGACTTCATGTTTCAGGGGGTTAAACGTTCTTAATAAAAGACTTGCTGAAGTGTAAGTAACAAGACTGGAAAGATGCATTCCTAATTGGAAGCGAAGTATTTTCCATTACCCTTTTCTTGCTCTGGTTATTGTCGAATTTGAGACAGAGATCTATCAATAACACAAACGGTAAACACATTTTTCGTCATGACACACCGTACTGGTGAACACTGCAAATAAGGCCTTCGCATCTGGAGAATATACTATAGAAACAGTATGTCCGGTTTCGACAAGGACGGGGTTGCCTTCCTTCTCAATATTACCATATAGGTCTACAGTAGAAATATTTTACAGCAATAATACTCACACTGGGAAAATAAAGTTTACTTGTCCTATTAAAAAGAGCAACTGGAGAATAAGGATTTGAATCACATTAAAGATGCCTACCATAATACAGGGCTACTATAAATGATTCATTCGTTTTTAAAAAGCTATATTTTCCAAAGCATTAAACGTACAAATATGATCGATATATAAAAAGAACCGTAAACATACCAAGTTTTCTTCACACACTACAAATGTTCTATGTGTGCCCCTTGGGTCACACGACACACGTCCAGGCGGTAGTCGAGCTCGTTCCACACATTTTATAGCATCATCCTGTCAATGGTCATCACTGCAGTATCGATGCGTTCCCTCAGCTCTACTAGTGTTCTTGGTAGTGGGGGTACGTAAACACGATCCTTAATATACTCCCAAAGGAAGAAGTCACAAGGCGTTAGATCAGGTGATCTGGGAGGCCAAGTGAAAAAAGGTACGTCATTCTCACCAACATGCCCAATCCAGCGATGCCGAAGTTCATTGTTTAGATAGCGACGAACATTGCCGATACCACCGCAAAATGCTTTGTTTACATGGCGGCTCTTTTCCATACTCTTTTGAATGCGCGGTGCACTGCTATAACAGACGAACATCTCGAATATTCCAACAAACAAAAACTCTTTTCTTGCTTTGTCGCCATTTTGTAAAGGCACTGAACTCCTGCTGCCAACTGGTGCACATTATACAAACTTGGTGAGTTTACGGTTATTTTTATATATCAATCATATTTATACATATAACTTTGGAAAATATAGCGTTTTAAAGAACGAATGAATCATTTATAGTAGCCCTGTTTTTGCATAATGTTGCAAATATCAGTAAGTGTATTTTGGCAAGATTACGGAGTAAATTCCATATCTCTGGTCTGTGGTAGGAAAGAATGACTAGATATATATAGTTTTATATGTTATAAATATTGGATCTCCTACACAAATTTTTGTGCGATTACACATTCTGTAGAATTATGAAACAATTAAATGTAAGTTTATATTTCACTGATAGGAAGACATGAAATTGGCTAGACCATTTTACTGTAGACACTGTGAGTATAGATTGTAGTTGAAATTCGCCTGATGGCAACACGTGAAGTCACGAACATGTAAATAACGCAGTCCTCTATGCACCTGCGAGTACATAACGGACTGAAGACAGCTGTCTTGAGCCGTCAGAATTCCCTGAAGTTTGTCGCGTAATATTTACAGTACACGCATCTACATGACATCATCTACCACACAACGCTTTGCAGAATTCCTGTCTTATTGTATACTTTGCATGAAGTGCGTGAAATATGTAAGCTCCTGCTGTAATGATGAAAACACGACGGTCTTGTTTACTGCGATGGCTGAAGAAATAACGTGTCACATCAATTCATCAATCTGAAGATTTATATAATATGATAAGATACATCTTCTGACCGAAAGCGCCGGGATAGCGCAGTCGGTATAGTGACTGGCTATGTGCTGGGGTCGGAGTTCGAGTCCCGGTAGGGTCAATAATTTTCTGTTCTCCACGCCGTCCAGACAGGCTCTGGGATTCAACCAATCTCTTATACAATGGGTACCGGGGGTAAAGCGGCCGGGGCGTGAAGCTGACCACTCACCTCCAACTAGTGCCGAGGTCAAGAAAATGTGGCTCTATACATTCACTCCCCCAAACGTCTTCATGGCGTATTGCTTAATTAGTTAAGCACAGGGACAACTTTACCTTGCATCTTATGACTCTGTGGGAAATTTAAAAATAAATATAACAACATAATCATAAAATGTGGCATATACACGTAAACGTATGCAAACAAACGATGTAAATTGTGGAGGTTTCCTGGGCTGTGACAGAGTACAGTTTGGTGGATAGGTATCGACTTCCTCTTCTGAAGTTGGAGGCGGTAGTTCCTCCGAAGGTTCGGTACGTGTGTTCCCGAAATCAGATGGCGCCACTTCCCAAAAGGCATAATCTTCATACTGCCACGAACTGGAAGCCAGTCCACATCAGGTTGGTTACTCCCCATGCACTTGTGATCATAACAGCGCGTCGCATCGACATTGAGGTGGACCAAGGAAGCTGGATTTTACAGTAGTTCAGACTGTCAACGGTTTACGGTTGTACTGAAATGCCTCTTACTGCAGCTGAGCCACGCCAAATGCTGTTGCTTTGGCACTTCAGTCGCATGCTGGGTGCAACTCTTTGTTCAGTTTAGAGCGCATTCAGTAGGTCAGGCTGTGTAGCTTCGAATTGCGGGATGATCAATGAATAAAGAACTGTAAAGGGTGAGGGAGGAAACGGTTGCTACCCCCATATGTGCTTGGAGGGATTGAGGAAATGTAGTTGTAGGCCCAATAGAGGGACCAACGTAGGTTCTTGTGAACAAGTTAATGAACTTCGGGGCACAATCGACTAGTAATACACCTGATCTGTGCTCGGGAGATACTGGGTTTACATCTTGGTTTGGAGACCGTCTATCTTTATAGGTCTCTCTTATTTTTACCCAGTGACCCCGGGCAAGTGCAGAAAATAAACGCTGCTTTCCACATCTTTTGCAATTCATTACTCAAATTTCATCCTGCCATTCAGCGTTGCCTATAATGTGATTTACTGACAGCGGCGTTCAATGAAACATAAATAAATGAACATAAAATTCTGATCATTTCTTTGCTGCTTGAGACACTGTCAGTTTCTCAAGAAGGACTGTTCTCAAAGTTAGTTTTGAACGGATTATCAGTGTTTTTGATATGCATAGGTTGCTGGCCCTGGACGCATCTCAGCTGTTGTCAAGCTGTCTCCGCGTTAGAGTTCTGAAGGCCCGCGGCAACTCTAAAGAGTTAGTTCCCAAATTGGTGTTTACACTTGAAATCAATGCGTCACACCTCTTAGAAAGTCTCGGGGAAAAAAGTGGAACATGTTCGACCAGGAACTGTGGTCTGTTGGGCTGGTGTTATATTCCCATCGCGTTTGGCTCTTGAGTGATACGCTATCTAACAAACTTGTGCGAACTGTAGGAATTATGTAATATCAAATTAAATGAAAGGATGATTATGTTTGGTGAAGCGTAAGAAGCGATCCTGGACTACTGTTGAAGCCAATAGACTGTAAGGACATCTGTGCGCCTGAGACCGAACTGGACGGTCTGGCGGTAACGCTGTATACTTCGATTCCGGAGGTACTGTTTCGAATCCTGTCTGTGGTATCGACTACCCTCACTGAGGCTTCCTGTGATTTTTCTGTTACTTAAGGAAAATGAGGGGAGAGTACCTCGAGCAGGGCATGCCTGTTTATTTCCGAATCATTTCCAGTTCATTATTTATCAGTGAACTTACGATTCGACGCTATGCAGCCTTGACACTGAGCACCGAGAAGAAGTTCTGGGAAGAACTAATCGCTGCTTTCGTTCGATACGATACAAACCTCATAGAAACCAACTGGTATAACAACTATTCTATTGTTGCATTTGTGTTCGTTACCGCGGAAAAATATTTACCGAGCCGTTGCCTAGCACCGATAGAGGGATAGACACACACAC